ACCTATCTTCAGACCATAGAAGGTCTCCCCAAGAGGCCACTGAACTTATCTGGACAATAAGACGCTGAACTTTATGCTAGGCATGTGTTTGCAAGCAATGAATCTCAACTGAACTTGAACTATGGTTATGCAACAAGGTGGAGGAATCCACCATGGGGGGAGGGGTATGGGAGGGGTGGGGGGGATCCCCGGCGCCTATAAAACTGTACTACATAATACAATGTAAGGAACAATAAAAAAAAAAAAAAAAAAAAAAAGAAATTTCTGCATTTAACTTCCTCAATAAAATGACATGGAAACAAAAAAAAAAAAAAAAAAAAAAAAAAAGAAAACCATCACACTTTTTGGTACCGATTTGCATAGATGGCATAAATGGCAGGTTCAGAGCACCTGGAGGTGGGGTGATGGTAATAAACCGTAAGCCCAAAGCTCTGCAGAATATTTGGAATAGCCATAAATGATCCTCAGGTATGACTTACACCCATGACACAATCAAAGCAGAGTTCCGCTTGAGTGGTTTTCATGATTTGGTCTAATCTATGTTGATTCCCTTTACGAAGAGCACATGGTTCAATTATATATTTCTTCCATTCCTGGGTTACAGATGTCCTTCTAAATGCCCATTCTACCAATTTATAGGGATATAAAAAAGGATTTTCAGTAAATTGTACTTTCATTGGTTTTGATGAAAAGGGTTTGTGATAAAAGTAGAATCTCTAATAAGCATTTCATAAATGACTTGTCTTTCAAACCTAATATAAAACAGAATTAAATACATCTCCCAAAGACCTCCTTGCTGTTTCACAGATTTAAAGTGCCCTGCTTTCAATCAATTGGGTACAAGAACTCAAGAACCTCTAAAGATGCAGTCAAATATTTATCAGTTAAAGTTGGTAAAATTATTTATGGTCTAGATTTTAAAATAATCACACTTGGAAAGGGGGAGGAGAGAGGAAGGCGCGTGATGGGCACACAACCCTAGCGTCTCCTTGCTTGTAGATTTCAAAAGCAGGAAGGACATTACAGGTGTGAGGAAGGATGTTCATGACAAGTATTCTTAGTTTTTGTTTTTTTTTTTTTTAACACTGGGAGATATTCAAGGGCAGAAGGGAACATAGAAAAGGGCCCAAATCCAATAGGCGATTGTCTCTTGCCATGCTCAGGTGTACTTTCAAAAGTCGCTGGTGCGAACCAGCTGCTGTGTGACCAACTGACTTGCTAGGGAAACAGCCCTGGAACCCAAAGTCTTGAAATATGATTCCGTCTTAGCTTGGGAAAGCACTCCTCCCACCCCAATTCTAGTAATTTAGCGACTTACCAACTAATTAATTATTTGGCAGATACATGAAATATGCATCAGTCAAGACTTAGCCTAGAGCCTGGAGCTGCCCTATGGGTACGTGGCTTGCACCCGTGGTAGAAAACCCTCCTCAGAGGGCTAATTCCCAGGAGCTCCTTGCCTTTGATGTGCTGACTCTTTAGCATATGTGTCTGCTTTCTTTAAAGAATTCAGACTCTGAGAAAATATGACAAAACAAAGAAAGTCAAGAAGAGGATATTCGATCTCTAGTCACCCTCTTAAAATGCAAGACTAACACATTCTAAAAGTATTTTTTGTGCCAGCATGCTAATTCGTGTCTTTCATAATCATACATTTCATTAAAATTAAAATCATGCTGACACTTTCATGATGACACTTCCGAACATACAGGAAAACCGAAACAACTGCATAGCTAATTTCTATATGTGATCCTGCCATTAGCATTTTGCCATAACTCATCTCTTGTCAAAGTTTTGCCACATAACCACACACCCACTCTTCTACCCATCTTACATTTTGGCGCACTTCAAAGAATTACATTTCATTTTAATGCAGTTTTAAAGAAAGAAATTGTCAGTGGAGATATTTCATTCTGTGGATGAGGATTCTCAGACTCTTAGCAGTCTCGGGGCACACTCGCTCAGAGTACGGACTTTGAACTCGGGGACACTGACACAAAGCCTGTCTTCACTGCTGTTGGCCAGCCATGTGCCTGGGCATCCTCACGCTCACCAGACACTGGAAGACCATCTTCACAGGCCTGTTATGGGGAGTCAACCTCTTCATTAGTTGCTTTTTCCCCTTCCTGTCTTACTGGCTTGCCCCCTCATGAGACTTTTCTTCCCTTCCTAAATGAACTACCAGCAGACTGTTGTCTAAAGATCTGCTACTGGTGTAACCCCAAGTAAGTCAAGTTTTTACAGCTGGTACAGAATCTTCTCTGAGCTGTTTGTTTTATCCTATGCTGAGTATAACACCAGCGGTGCCTTCACTTAGGCTTCTGGGAGTGGAGTGGAGTGGAGTGGAGCCACAGCCCTGCCTCCTGGGTCTCTTTTCTCTTCTTCCTGCCTCCTCAGCATTACATAAGATATCAGGTGCTCTCTCACCACAGCTGTGCAGAGCAAAACTTGTCAGTTGCTGGTGGAGCTGATGAAGACTAGATCAAAGATATAAAGAAAGGAGTACAATTCATGAATTAAAAATAAGCAAGCACAGGGAGGAAAATTCCTTCAAGCATGGAAAAACAGTTTGATCAAGACATGGTAGGTTTTCTTTAAACATCGGAAGGTTTGAAAGCTGTTACACATTGTGGTATTAACAGCCTATCACATTTAGAAGCACAATTGCTCTGTAGAGAATCCAGGTTGAGAACCAATGTTGGCAAGAAGAGACAAATCCTCAGCTGGGAAATAAAATCATCTTAGCTATACGCACACACTGTAAGATAGCTCCAAGAAGGAATTTATGTTGTTTGGCCCCACCCAAACAACCTCAGAGGGGTTAATGTGTGCAAAATGAAGAAAATTAGCACAGCCTCCTGATTCAGCATCCACATCTGGACACAATGAAATAGGAGTTAGGCGCTTTAAGTATAGTCTGGGCTTTCCAGCCAACTGAGATCTTTAATCACTCTTACCATAACCCAATTAATGGAAACACATCTTTAACACTGAAAGTGTTACCCACTAGCAGTGCTTAGTGGGGGAGAATTTAGCTCAGCCCTTTGCAGACACGGGCATGCAACAAGACTCACCATGACGGCACACACACAAAACATCCCAGATTCCTGGTCTCAACTGAGGAATTTCTGCTTCAGAGATGACAGAACTCAAGATGTATTTCTATCAAATTCAAGTGATCATGATGCTGCTGGTTCACTCTTGGAATGTCACTCTTGGAGTAGGTACTGGACTAGACCAGGGACCCTTAGTCCAAGTTGTATGTTAGAATCATCTGGGATCTATTAACATTCAGAAGTACCATCTTCACCCTCTGATCACTTGTACCAATCTCTGAGGGTAAAATCCAGGCCTTTGGCTTCCACGTCTATGGCTCATCTAAAAGAGACCTAAAACCTTGCCTCTCCTGTAGCCCTCTGCCTCATCTGCCACGTTCTCATCTAAAAGAGACCTAAAAATGAAAAATTTGTCTTGGAGTTCAGAAGTCATTTGGGGGTGGAGAATTGGAAGCATAGGGATTCTAGCCCCATTGCCAGCAGCATGCCTGGCTCCAGAAAACAGAAAAAGAATACCCTGGTGGATAGGGCTGTCCAAGTGGACAGGAATGGAGGCCTGCAAAGACTTGTCTTAAAGAAGGTCACCTTTGGCATAGGAGTGAATACTGTAGTAATAGATTATTTTTGGTTATAATCATCACCAAAGCCCATCTCTGGTAGTCCAAGTCACTGTCACATCTTGTCCCAGCCATCACAAAATCATTCTATCCCTGGTCTCCTTGCTCCCATCCCTCTCCACTGCTCCTCTCCCAGAAATGCTTCTCCACAAGGCAGCCGGGAGATCTTTCCAAGCCTAGATGTTTGGGGACACTGTCCAGTGGTCTCTGGTCACAGGCACAATAAAATCTCTACCCCTCATCACAGAACCAGGGCAAGCCAACCTCCATGACTTTCATTCCTACCACTTCCTTGCTACCGTGTGGCTGACATCCTGCTGGGTGTCACCCTACAAGCATCCTCCACTCTTCCTGACCTCTGGGTCTCTGAACACACAGTTCCCTCTGCTAAGAATGCTGCTTACTCATACTGTTCCAGATATTCCCCTATCTTGCCTCTCCTGTAGCCCCTCTGCCTCAAGATGTCAGAAATTTCAACCAGCCATTAGCCTTCTATGTGAACTCTGCCTCCTCTCTCCTCTCCCTGGTGTTGCCGTTTGTTGTTTTTCTCACATCATTGTGTTTCTTACTTTCAGTCTCCATCACACTCTGCAACATGTAAGGGAACTCCACCCTTTTAACACTGTAAGGAAAGTCATCTATTTACCCTTTTTCCTGCTTATAACGTCAGCCTGTTTACGCAGTAGAGTGGCCTTCTGTTTCACAGATGGGATGCTGCCTGATCCATGAGTCTCTATGAAAAGCCAACTCATTTATTAAACTCAAGTTGTTAAAATTTGGGTTTTGGACACATTAGAATCATTATCCACCTAGCAATGACCGTTTCTTCCTGGGTGAGACTTTGTGATTTCTATTACCATGTTTCACTGGATCCGGTTGTTGTGATCTAGTGCTCCAGCTCCAATTTACTTTTTGGACAGCTGACCGACTTGTAGAAAAACAAGACTGCACTAAGACCACACATCAGATCCTAACATTCTAAGAACCCTTATTCGGGTTGCCCCATGGACATTCGCTAAAAAGGCAATGAGAACAGTTCTTAATCAGTGACATCCTTCTGAGCAGCCTCAAGTTCCTTACGTGCCAGTTATATTTCTAAGTCATGATGTTCAAAGCTGTTTGTGCTTTTCCCGAATTTGCATTTATTTATTTATTTATTTATTTAGGATTATCTTCCCAAATTCTTCTCTTGCCAAAATCAATTAGCATCTTACTGTGGAGGACCCAATGCCAATTTGAGATGGTAACCATGACAAAAACAATCAACTTGTCTCATACATGTTACAGATTAATAAAACATAGTCTTGTCACTTGTGATCTAACTTACCTTGCCGACGTCTCTCGGGAATGGCTGCCTCTGATTCTCAGGAATCAGGATGGGAGACACTACAATCGATCTCTTTTGTCTTGGGACAGGAGAAGTTCTTGCATATTTAAATATGTCCTGAAAGAGAAAATAAAATCAACTGACTAAAATTCCCATCAGAAAGGATGGCTCAGCCCACTCTAGGATATGCGTCCTCTGTTGAGGAGGCAGACATATGTTTGGACATTGCTAGCTTCGCTCTATCAAACCTCACTAGTGTTCCTGACTACATCATTAGAGTCACACTGAAGGTGACACTGAGATCCCCAATGGCTACCATTAAGCTATTTAATTCCAACTTCTGAATCATTCTATTTACAGTGTCAGTCTTGATTTAAGCATCCTTCCAGTGCCTGTGAATTATTGCACTTTGCTTACCAGAAAAGTGGATTACTCACCTGGTGAGGAACTCAGAGAACTCACTAGACACATAGTGACTCTCTTCATGGCCATATGCATGGCCTGTACTTGCATAAATGAATGAAAAGGACATTTTAACACTACATAAGGCCCAATAAAGGCTTGTATTCGATGTTTTGTTAAGGACATGCACTATTAGTGTTGGTGGATGAGTGTTAGAATTTAGTCTCCAAGTAGTATTTCAGCCACTGGGATCAGTTTCGATCACTGGAATAAGATTATCATGGTTTTAGCTCTTTGTGTAAGTCATCAATTTAAATAAGTAAACAAAATTTAAAAGGAGATTTTACATTATTATTTACTTTTTAGCTATTTAGTAGAAAGGCACAGAAGAGAGAGAGAGAGATTGAGAGAGAGAAGGAGAATGGAAGGAAAGGAAAGAGGGAGAGAGTGACAGAGAAGGAAATGGAGAGTGGTCATGTCTGCACAAACAAGTAGGCCCCATCTACGGATTCACATTGCAAGTGCCCACAATGACAGGAATGGGCCAGAGTCAAATCAAGGAGCTGGGAACTCAATCCAGGTTTCCCATGTGGGTGGCCAGGACCCAGTTAGCTGGACCATCACCAGCTGTCTCCCAGAGCCTGAAATGACAAGGAGCTAGAAACAGGAATTGGAGCCAGGAATTGAAAATCAGTATTGATATGGGATTCAGGCTAACATGCATACTCTTATTTATTTGCACAAAGCACTGGTTCCACTTCACATGAAAAGAAGATCACTAGCTAGCAACTGTGATCCACAGAGAGAATGGGAGGGGTCAGATCACAGAGGGGTTAGCACCAGACTCAGTATCCCCATGATGTAATCATGAGACTGAAGCATTAAAACCAAACTAACAGCTTCCAAATTTAAACGAATCTCATTTAATCCAATATTCTATCAAGAATCATGCCCTCTATATCCCAAACTAAGCACTTCACTTTCAAAAGCCAGTTCCTATCAAGATGATATGGTAGGGTTGCAAGTGTGACCAAGTGGGTAAAGCTGCCACCTACAATGCCAGCATCCCACATGGGAACCTGTTCATGTCCCAGAAGCCCCATTTCTTTTCCCAGTTCGCTGCTAATGACCTAGAAAGGCAGCAGAAGCTGCTTCAAGTGCTGGGGTCCCTTGCTATGCACGCAGAAGATCTGGGTGGGGCTCCTGGCTCCTGTCTTCAGCCTGGTCTAGCGATAGCCATTACAACCATTTGGAGAAAGAAACAGTGGATAGAAGACCTGTTACAAAGTTTTGCCAGCAACCCAAGATGCCAGATGCAGAGAGTCACATAGGAAATCTTTATTCCAGTGGGAGAGGTCGCCATCAGCAAGCGAGAGAATGCAGATTGAGAGAGAGGTCTTCTGCCATAGTGATAGGAGGAGGCTCCTCCAAGGGAGAGATAGAGAGAGAGCTGAGATCAGAGAGAGCAGGTATGCACAATAAGGTGCGTTTATGGCCGGGGTTTGGGGGGGAGCAGGGGCAGGTAACATAGGGCCATAGTGATTGGTGGATAGGACTGTGAGGGCCGGGGGAATTGCAGGTGTGGTGGTAGGTGGCTACTAGGCGTTGAGAATTTACACAACACATAGGAAAATATAAGATATCATATTCAATGAGTTCTACTTTATATAGGCTACACTGAGCATGAAAGAAGAATATCAAAATGTTAACAAGAACCTGAGTCAAAGACCAGCGGGCTGGGGTGGGGTGGGGGAGGGAAGTCTGACATGGTGGTGTGCAGGTTCAATCACTGCTTGGGAAGCCTGCATCCCAGATCCGAGTGTCTCCGCTGCTGACCAAGCTTCCTGCTAATGTGCAATGCAGGGTGCAGAGTCGAAGCAGAGGGGAAAGGCTCCTGACATCCACTTGGGAGATCGAGAAGGATACCTAGCTACAACCTAACCTAGTCCCAGGAGCTTGGGTGGGAAATCTCTCTATCCTGCTCTTCCCTTCATATAAATACATCAGTAAAGAAATTAATATACGTTTTAAACAACACCACTAGTTCTCCAGCAAGACCAAAGGCTCAATGAATGGGCAGACAAAAACCAAAAAAACTGAAGTCAGTGTATATTTAAGACAGTGAGATTAACAAAAAGAGCAAAATCAACAACAAACAAGAACTCAACCAACCACAATAAAACAAAACAAGCCCAAAAAGAGCTTAGAGAAACAGGGCAGACCCAATAAAAAGACAATGAAAACCAGAATGGATTACATTTACACAAAACTGAAGGGCATCATCTATGAAGATCTGGTGGTTCATAAGGAGATGGCAAAAGGAAAAAAAATATATAAAATATATGCAATATAGGAAACTCATTTGCAATAAAAAAAAAGTCACCAGCCTCAGATGAGAGAATGTCTAGGAAAGTATTTTGATTTAAAGTGCTATGCAAATGAAAGGGATTGTGAGTCTGTAATGGAGCCAACAGAGGCCTTTGTTTATTATGACAATATATGTGTAAATGGGCCCAAAGTCATGAGACTGCACAGTCAATGACAAACTTCCTGCTGTTTTGTAATACCATGATTTGCATTTGTTTTCCCAGTCTGCTGTCAGAGGATGCTTCTGTCCTCAGGGGTGCCCAGATGACCAGGTCTACCAGGTAGAGGCCCTGAATGCACTCCTGGGAACGTCCCTGCACACCAGCTAGCAAGCACAGGGCCATCCATCAGTGCACCTCCTGAGCTCTGACAGCACCTCCGACAGGTGGGACAGGCTCAGATGTGTCCATTTCTGCATTTAAAGGGCCCAGGAAGAAAAGCAGGCGGCTTTGAGCCTTGGGTGTCTGCATTGGGAGGGGCAATCCAAAAGAGGATGGCCACTCTTTTCTTCTTATTTGCCATCATTTTAGGATAAGCCTTAGTAAATACAAGGAGAGGCAAATTGTTCAATGCCAAGTTTATTTTGATTTTTTTTAACTTAGAAAAAAACATATGTGCAGTTTGATCTTAGTGAACATTCTCCATAAACTGCAAAGGTGAGCTTGGAGGATGGACAGAGGAGTTGCCAAAGGCCTGAGAGTAGCTGGGCAGAAGGGACACACCTGGCATGCACATTTCATTGCAGCCAGGCAGCTCCCGGTCTGAGCTGAGCAAGTAGGCAGCAGCCAGAGCAGCCCTGGGAAATAGGTTCGGACCATGCAAAGGCTCTGACATTCACTCCCCATCAGGTGGGAACCCTGGCAGGGTCCTGGCTGAGATGTGACACCAGCCCCAGGATCACAAGGCATATGAAAGCTGCTGTAGGGGAAGCACCTGCGAGGGATGAGAGTAAAATGTGGCTCATAGTTGGGCTACCTGTTACTGAGGGTCTTCCTTATAAGCTGATGCTCCGTGGCCAGCAGCAGTCGGGGAACTGGAATGGCTGCATCCCCCTTCTGCTGCCTTCCTAATTCCTGTCCCTTTTGTCTAATGAATGAGAGAGGTAAACACAGTAGGTCCCTTGTAAAGAAGTCACAGGCCCCCACCTCTGCTCTCTTGCTCACTATCCTAACTTTGGGGAAAGCAGCTTGGCTCTCTGAACGAGCCAAAGCACTAGAGCCAGGGAGCTGAGAGGGCAGTGGAAGATGAGATCAAGGATGAGCCTTGTAGGTCAAGGTAAGAAAGGCAAGAAAAGTTGGATTTGCTTCCCTTCATGGGTTCCCTAGGGTGTGATGCTTTGGGTTTGAACTGAAGGAGCTGAGGTTATTCCCTTGAGATCTAAAGCAATTTTTCAGACTCCAGAATTAAGACAACATACAGTTTCACAGTGGCTTTCCAAACCCTAAGGTTTATATGGTATTCTGACCCCGGACTCACTACATTTGTCTTAGAGAGGATGCAGCCACTCAGTGACATGATTAACACATCAGGCATGGTGTTAGGCATATCAACGTCACCTCACATTTAACAGTCTGCAGTTAGAGCCATCCTGACTGTTTTCCTGCGTTTCAAGGACGTGACTCTCCTCCACACCCCCTCACCCCTGTAAGGAGGGACTCACATCGACCCTGAGGCCCCTGCCATTTTAAATATCTGCTACCTCTACATTGGCTTCTTGAAGATTTGCATACCCTTCGGGTTCAAATTTCGTTGTCTGCCAATCAGCTGTAATTTCATAACCTTGTTCCCACCAATCTACCTCACAGTATTAGGCGGTGCCTGACAGCCCTCTCCATCAACCCCTTGTAGCCCCTCCCCCAAACCCACCACACCTACCTATACCCTGTAGCTCTGAGAATCTTATCCGCCAATCCCTCATGGCCCCATGACGCCCATCTCCCACCACAAACAGCACTCTCCCACAGGCATGTGCCCTCTTTGCATGCCGCCCCTTTCCTCAGCTAGTCCTTCCCCTGTCCTCCTTCATCTTGCCCCCTCCTGCCACCTTCCCTCCGTCTCCCTCTGCCTCTGCTCAGGTCCCTCCCCTGCTGGAATAAAACACCTCCCAGCTGCCTAACTGCATCTTGTATTTTGGCTTATTGTGACAATCTGATCTGAGAGAGAGCTTACTTGTGCGAAAGGACTAACAACCCGAGGGCCCTTTACTTACCTAAGCTCTGTGTGCTGCACTTCCCTCAGGGCTCCCACTGTCCACAACCCTTGCTCAGAGCCCTGTGCCCAGCAGGAGGGCTCCCCACACTCTTTTTGGGTTCTGAGCAATCACAGCTCTAACACTCTGACTGATAGAC